TATGTTATACGACGAAGATGGAAATGGAATACTTGATAAACAAGTTTGTAATCAAAATCAGCAAGACGAAAATCAAAACTTTTATTTTGTATTATTTAGGAAACTGATTCGATTGTTAATCAAATGATGAATGTTGCTGAATATCTCGGTTGGGATGTATCGGAATTAAGACCAGTAAGAATTCGAGTTCCTTAATTACAAAAAAAAACCAATCAAAACAACAATAAATTTAGATACTCGAAGCGATGATGAAAGAAATCGATTATGATAATGATGGTGCTGTTACTTTAGACGAATGGAAACGTGGTGGTTTAACAACAGCACCACTTCTTGTTTTACTTGGACTTGATTCAGTAAATAGAAAGAAAAACATGAATTTTTCTTTTGACCAATTTTCATTTTCTCTAGAATGTCAGAGATGATGGAATACATTCATGGCGATTGAAACATTTTAATAAACCTGCATACTGTAATCTTTGTTTGACAATGCTTGTTGGTTTGGGCAAACAAGGCCTATGTTGTACATGTAAGTTTTATATTTTGTAAAAACCCACAAACACAAATTCAATTAATTTCAAGTTTGTCGATATGTTGTTCATGAACGATGTGCTAATAGAGCACCACCAAATTGTATTTCAACTTATGCCAAAGCACGAAAATCTGATACAATAATGTTACATCATTGGATTGAAGGCAATTGTGCTGGAAAGTAATGGAATAATAGAAAAATCGGAGAGTTTTTCCTTTTAACATTTGTTTGTACTTTTTTGTTAGATGCGATCGATGTAAAAAATCCATTAAAGCCTATAATGGTATAACTGGTCTGCATTGCCGTTGGTGTCAATTGACATTACATAATAAATGTGCATCACAATTGAAACCAGAATGTACATTAGGCCCTAATAGGGATCATATTATACCGCCCACGTCGATTTGTCCAGCTGTTTTAGTAAATGTTGATTTACTTTGTTGTCTATAAAATATTTTAATTAATCTAGGAACGACAAATAATCCCACGAAGTGGAAATGATACTCGACGAGAAGACGGATGCGTTGAAGGGTCTATACAGTCGTTTCAAATAAATCCTTTACCCAATACACATCCATTACTTGTTTTTATTAATCCAAAATCAGGTGGTAAACAAGGCGAACGGTAATTCTTTTTAAAGAGACTTTAGTTTTTCTTTGACGATAATTTATAATTTATTTAGGATAATGCGAAAATTTCAATTCTTAATTAATCCACGTCAAGTTTTTAATCTTGCCAAGGCTGGACCTATGCCAGGGTAATTAGTTTTAACATCGAATTGAATATAATTTTCTAAACAGATAATCAAGACTCTCTAGAATAAATTTACCATACGATATATTTCGCAGAAAGCAAAAATATTAATAAATCACGATATTTAGTATCGATGATTTCCTTAGAGTATGATTTAAAAGAAATTTCTCTTGATAATACTTGTATTTATGATTGCAGTGAATATCAAAGCGTACTTCATGAGTTCAAGAAACGAAGGAAACAGTAACTTTCATCAGACCTGGCATCTTGAGATTTTTTTTCTTCCGATGAGATTCACTATTTCCTGTAGTTGAGATATATTTATTCAGCATTATGTCATGACAACGGAAAATGTCATCGAAGATAAGAATTTTAGAAATCTATTAACTATTACAAGTAGTAGCGTTGTTCATAGGTATTAAAATCTATTTATGTTAACGCTTAGAGAAAAAAGAGCTCTCACGAACATATATATTGTAATGGCCAATAGGGGTGCAATAGTTCAGCTCTAGTTCTGAGCGAGGGAACTGTTCGAAAGTTCATTTCGGTAGGAGCTGATTGTTTTGAACAGCTCTTTTCAAAAGAGCTGATCTGATTGAACAGCTCTCTCTGTCTCAAGAACTGATTGGCATTATGCCAAAAATGCTATCCAAAATCTTTTGAATTCACTTTAAATAACATATACGAATGTTGAAGTGTGTGGACAGATTTGGATAGTATTTTTGGCATAATGTCAATCAGTTCTTGAGAGAGATAGAGCTGTTCGATCAGATCAGCTCTTTTGAAAGGAGCTGTTCAAATCAATCAGCTCCTACCGAAAGAACGTTCGAACAGCTTTTTCGCTCAGCTCAGCTGAACTTTTGAGCTGGAGCTGATGCACCCCTAATGGCCAATAGCCAACTGTTCTTGTCATGTGTATGAGAAACGTCTCATTCACAGGATTGATTCATTTTTGAAAAGGAAAATGTAAGATAATGGCCTCCCAATGCAGACTCATTGATGTAAAAACATACAATTCATTTTTGTTGAAATATACAAAAAGGAATTCCATGTCGACATTTCTTTTAGCGAAACTATACTTCGACCAGAAACACTTTATGCGCATATTTTTCCAACGCTTAGCGTAGACGTAGGAGATGATTGAAGATGAAAATTAAAAAAAAAACTAATTACTATCCATTTAGATTACAATTCTTCAAAGATCTTGAAGATTTTCGTGTTCTTTGCTGTGGTGGTGATGGAACAGGTATTTAGCAGATGCGATGTTTTTCATCGTTTAATCCTGTTTTTCATTACTAGTTGGTTGGGTACTTGATGTGATGGATCGGGTTCCACTTCGTCGTCGAGCTCCAGTTGCTGTTTTACCATTAGGTACTGGCAATGATTTAGCTCGATGTTTAGCATGGGGCGGTGGCTATGAAAATGAAAGTTTAACTAAAGTACTCAAAAAGGTTTCTCAAGCTCCGGTGGTTATGCTTGATCGTTGGCTAATTGAATTTAGTACACGTACAGATACAGAAGAAAAAGGTGATGATATTCCATATAATATAATAAATAATTATTTTTCTATTGGTGTTGTAAGTATTTTTCTATTGATTTTCAAAAGATTTCGAATGATAAAAAAATTCTCTTAGGATGCATCCATTGCTCATCGTTTTCATTTGATGCGTGAAAAGCATCCTGAAAAATTTAGTAGCAGGTTTATCTAAAGAAAATATTTCATTTTTTTCTTACATTTTTCATTTGTAAATTTAGAATGAAAAATAAACTATGGTATTTAGAATTTGGCACTTCAGAAGCTTTTTCGTCGACATGCAAAAATCTACATGAAGATATTGACATTATGGTAAAATTGACAAGACAAAAAACGAGAACCATGCTTTTCTAAATAGCTTTTTCATTTCTGATATATTTAGTGTGATGGAGTTTCTCTTGATTTATCCAATGGACCATCGTTAGAAGGTATAGCATTGTTAAATATCCCGAGTATCTATGGTGGAACTTCATTATGGGGTGAAGGTGGTCGGCATAAGAAAAGAAAAACACCATTAAATTTTCACCGAAAAGACTCGTATGTGATTTTGAATAAACTAAACACAATCGCAAAAAAATGAAAATAATTTTATAGGGAATATTCCACGAGTTCAACGTCAGATATGACATTTGTTTTACAAGGTAAATACATCGGACTCTATCCAGATGAGAATGTTTTTTTTGTTGTTTAAATTTCTTTCTCTTTTAAAGATGTGGGAGATAAATTAATTGAAGTTGTTGGTGTACAGTCAGCTATTCATGCCGGATCTATCTATGCTGGTGTTCGATCAAGTGCAAAACGGCTTGGCCAATGTTCAACAGTTGTTATCAGGTAGGGATCAATGAAAAAAATCCAGATAAGAATTATATTTCTTTTTAAAGAACTCACAAAACCTTCCCGATGCAAATCGACGGCGAACCGTGGCTACAACCACCATGTACTATTTCTATAACACATAAAAATCAAGTACCTATGTTAACGGCACCACGAAAAGAACGTAAAAATAGTTTATGGCGTTTATTTCGAAAATAGAAAAAATAAAATAATTTTTGTTTTCATCGGGAGAATCTGTGATAATCTGATTCTAATAATAAGCACTCTTCGAGAGAGAAAAACATAAATACAGCGTATCTAAATAAGCGTTTCTACATTTCATATTTTTTCTCTCCTATCTCTCTATGTCTATTTTTCAACAGTGATGCTTCTAGTCTGATAGATAATATTCTCCATCACACTGAATCGTGTGAAAATTATAGCCGAAAAATTTTTTTTTTCTCTGCACTCGTTAGTTTTAATGTTCATGTTAATAGTGGTGGTCTATGTGCTTTCTTCGAATAAAAATAAATAAATAATAATAATAATAATAACAACTTATGTCAATTGTATCATCACCTCTAATTGTGTGAATTCATGATTATTTGTTCGTGTATAGTTTAATATCTACATTGTTTTGTTTTTCTATCTTAAAAATATATACATACACACAAGTATATGGAAATAGAATGAATCTTATTAATAATGATTGTAATTGAAAATCGAGAGAGACAGAAAGACGACTCCGGATCAATATGAATCAAGTACAGGACACGATATTCTTGCTACTCGAAAGAACTCGTCAATTTGTCATGTGATCTGAAGTTTTTTTTCTTCTATAACAAGTTCATTGTAACAAAACAATAGGAAACAAATGAACCGTTGATTATAGTTTGAAGGCTAATCTATTTGTTGAAATCAAATAAGAAGAATAGACGACGATCCGGGAGTAAACAACGATGAGTATTAGTTTAATGCGAAATAATTTGAATAAACTACTATCCGAAATGAAACAGACAGCCGAACTTTTATTATATTAAAGCTTTTAATTTATCAGAAAATCGTCCAGACATTCACCAAAACTTATTATATGTTTTCTATCTGGATTATCTGAGTAGTTTTTTTTTGTTTGTTTATATAGTTATAGGTTGATGATGATTGAATAGAAGTAAACGCGTGTGACCTTCGAAAAACAAAAGAACAAAGCTCATTTAGAGGAGTGAAAACATATGGAATCGATTTCGTAGTCGGATTGAAGAGAATATATCGAGTGTCGTCATATTACACACATCAGTCTGGCAGCAAGAAGATAATATATTAGATAAAAACTGCTCACACTAAGTGAGTAAACAAAACAAGTCTTTGTTTTTATTATGTTGGACATCCACGAAAAATTGGCTTCGGATCAACAGCTGTTTTACGAAAATCCAGTAATTGATTTGTTGCTGTTGATGACACACCTGATTCATTGTTTGCTGTAAATAATAAAACCATACTTAATGGTATTAAAATAAGACAAATAAAAAAGAAAATTCGATCAACCAAAACAGCAAGTTGTTTAACAGATCGTTTCGATGAAGAAGATAAATATTGATAAAAATCAGTAGAATTTTCTCGTACAAATAAATTCATTAATAATTCTCGAATGTGTCGTATATCGCTTAATACTTCAAGAGCATTAACATTGTTACTTTCCGATAAACATTCTTGAACATTTCCACATTGTTGTAATGATGACCATCGTTGTTGATTTAAATTTGATAATGATTTATGTAGATTATGTAAAAAAGAATTTTTTTTTCGCTTTGACATTTTACTTCTTATTATAAACTGTTCTTGATAATATATAAATATTGTACATATATTAAATACGCATGAAAGAAAAACAAACGAAAATATTGTATTGGAATACAATGTTAATAGAGATAGGCCACGTTCACTTTTTGGCACGTAATCAGATATGAGTTGTAAATAAATCGTTAATGAAAGTAGAACACTCACAGTCAATGCTATTTTTTCACCACTATCCGTCGGTAGACAAAATGAAAATAGTCCAAGTGCTGATATAACAGAAAAGGGTATCATAATTTTTAAAACATAAAAACGCGAGAAACGTTCAAGTTCAATATCAATTTTAATCGTACTGAAATTACGTGAATAATGTGGATTGTATATATCAATTTCTTCAATCGTTAAATGTACTATTTTCCATTCTGTATTGATAAGATTATATAATTGAATAACGGTATATAAACTGCGTAATTTTAATTCACTTGAATCGTATATAGTTGATTGAAGAAGAATCGAACAATATTGTCGGTCGAATGGAAAATTTTTAACATTAATTTTACAATATGAAACAAGTTTATCTTGATATGACCAGCGAACAATGCCTGTACAAATAACTAATGCAGGATATTGATATTTAATTCCTCTATCTTTTTTTCCTGGACCATTTATTGCAATAATGTCAGGTGTCCATATTTCATTTCCAGTAAAGAACATCTCGGAACGATTTCGTCCAGTAGAGCATAATTGTTCACTTGTATTCCATTGTAGGAATGCATCGCACCATTTTAATTCCATATTAACATTAAGTGTAATGACCTTTAAGAAAAAAATTTCAAAACATCTCAACAGTTCGATGTCAACCTGCAGTCGATCAAAGGCTTTTATGGTTGAACACTAAGAATTTTTATCGTTTATGTGAATACAAGAAGACTCTCATACGAACAGATATTTTCATATTTACTCACCTGCTTTTGTGGATCGATTCCTGCAACTTCAATAATACCTAAACCAACTGCTACTATGGTTTGACTACTATTTTTTGTTTGTGCTCTTGTCAATAGATGATTTCGATAAAATTGCGTAATATTTAATCGATTGGATTCATAGGCAGTGTAATCTTTTCCATAGATCACCAGTACGTTTAAATGTAGAATAAAAACATGTAACAATTGCATGGTTTCACTATTCTCTTGTTTCCTTTCAAAATGAGAATCTATTTGAAGGATTCTACACAACGATAAATTCATGGTTGCATAATTTCATCAAAGAAACAATCCAATCATCTGTTCGTATGAAAAGATAATTTCAGATAAAAAGAAAATAAATAAATGTATAAAAAAAATTATATGATTGACAGTTTCTTCGGAATAGAGAGAAAGAAAAGCACACAATAAAAATGCGTTTGTATTACCATAACCACTCTCGTTCTGCTGGTCCTCAAAGAACATAACTTTTTCGTGCGATACATCATGTTCTAGTGTATTATATTGTTTTACTATTCATATCAAGAAATACTTGCATATTGCATGAAAAGAAGTGAAACTTTTAATTTGAATTTATTGAAATGAAAGCTTAGATTTGAGAATATCCTCCATCAACAAAAAGTTCAATGCCAGTCACAAAGCTGCTATCATCGCAAGCGAGAAATACAACAGCTTTGGCAATTTCATCGGGTGCACCGATTCGATTCATCGGTGTCGCTGCTTTCCAAGTAGCAAGATTTGCTTGAATTTCTTCTTCAGTACCACCAAGGCTTCGCAATAGAGGCGTATCGATTGCGCCGGGACTCAATGTATTCACTCGAATGTTGCGATGCTTCAGATCAAGAATCCAGCAACGGGCAAAAGCGCGAATAGCAGCCTTCGTTGCGCAATAGACACTCAGTCCTGCATCTGCTTTGATCGAAGAATTCGATCCATTGAGAATAATCGAGGCACCATCAACTAACAGTGGCAATGCTTTTTGAACTGTAAATAGAAGACCTTTGACATTGACATTGAATGTGTCGTCGAAATGTTTCTCCGTAATGTCACCGAACGTGGCAATTGTACAACTCGCTGCATTAGCAAAAATAATATCTAATCGCCCCTTTTCTTCTCTAATGATGTCGATTAATTTGTCCAGATCAGCTAGATTCCCTACATCACCTTGAACAGCGGTAACATTCGCTGCATTTATTTTTTTGACTGCCTCGTCCAGCTTTTCTTGTCGTCGTCCAGTGATGAAAACATGTTCGGCGCCTTCGAGAATAAAACGCTGAGCCGTCGCCAAACCAATACCTTCAGAACCGCCGGTAATAAGAGCTACTTTACCACTCAATTTCATCCTCCTTCTGACTACTGTCAATACGTAAATGAAACATAATCATTGTTTTTTTTTCTCTCCGTTCTGCTACAAGTCGAAAGACAAGCGTGCAAACTTTACTCCTACGAGTAATCCTTGTTCTCTTCTTCTGATAGCTTTTTCGAATCTAAATATCAAACGAACCCTCATTCTCACATTCTTTACATATATTTATCCTTCAAAAATGTTTATATGGTGTTATTTCGTCAAATGAAATAGATTCACTGAGAAATTGAATAATTAGGTTTTGAGTTGAAACGTGTCGAACTATGAGCTATGGCTATTTAGATATCAGAAATCTCTCTTATTCGTTAGATTTAACAAAATTATCCGTAAACAAAAACAACTACAAGCTTGAAAATTTTATGATTTAAAAAACAAATGTCAAAGAACGTTACGGGCAAATATATCCTAATCAATGATAAGTTTGAATTTAGCCAATTTTTAGCGACGATATATCTTTATTGATTTAGGTAAAACTGTCTATTGAATTTTATTCATTCATAGATTCTGAACATTTTATTGAACGTATTGAAATTAACTGATTGACGGCTGATACGACTGGCAATATTTCACAGGATACGATTTTTTACTACCAAATCAAAACGCTCACTATCCGTTTTCTGATCCTTTTACGAAATAGAAATCATCAGAGTATTCAATTTTTCGGAGGTGGGTTATACTACCGACAGAAAATGTGATTTTATTTTGTTGCCTCTTAAATTTTGAAAAAAAAAGATTTCTCCAATAAAACTGTAATTCTCCATAGGAACTAAAAATGTGTTTAAACATTCCTGCAACACATAAAATCAAGTAACTGTATTAAGTGCATCCCAAAATAAAAAGTAAAAATTATTTATGACGTTTATTTCGCAATAATTCAAGTGATAAATGCCAACATACAGAGTAGAAAAATAAGCGGTTCTCCCTTCACATTCTTTTCTATGTAAATTTGCTGGTTTTATTCTTATTGATATTAGTGCTTTCTCGATCAATATGAAACTCTACAGTTCTGATGCAAATGCACGATTAACTCATATCTATTCACCTATTGCCTTTTGAAAATATTAGAAGGATTCCGTCATAATTTCAATAATCATATTTTATGCTTCGATAATTTTAAGCAAAAAAATAGATTAATAAATCAAATCTTTATTATTGATAGGTTCTTCAAAGTACAAAAAAAATTACAATAGAAGATAGTAGAAATATTCAGTAATAATGCTTTCGCATTAATTGTGTGCACATTCAGCTGGTCTTGCAAAATCTATTTTATGATGCGAATCAAGATAATTTTGTATATGAGGTTGTGCTGTTTTCCAAACCTGAAATAAAAATGAAATCGTATATTTTCGTCTAGTCATTGATTCAATACTTACAATTCCAGATTTAATAATGCGCGTAGCTTTTTCAATATCATGAGCCATAAAGCGATCTTTATCCCAAGTTCTGTAGAAGAAAAATATGTATACACGCTGTTCTAAAAATTTTCTAGGTAGAGCTGAAAATTGAGTCTTTTACAGTAGTATTGAAATTTCTTTTTCTTATTGCGACGCAAATAAAGCTTCATCGCAATATTCAAGGACGATGGATAGTCACGCTTTTATTTGTCACACTTTAATTACATACGATAATTAGAATGATAGTAATTTGCAATTAGAAAAAACGGAAAACGAAAATATCAGAGAATCAGCCAAAATAATTCAACCAAATAATACTTTAGGGTGTCAGTAAAAAACAAAAATAAATTCTTTCCAAAATCCTGAAATAAGACTGCTTTTAATATAAATCGCAAACAAAACAACATACGAAATGGATTGTCGAACTAGATCATGAATAGCTTGTAATGGTGGAGTAGAAGTTAAAGGATATAATAAATCTATAGCTTGACAAGCCATTAATAATTCGATTGCCAATACTAAAACCAAAGTAACTTAGATCAACGTATAGGACATATTATTACACTTACAAATCTCAACATTATCCATAACTTTTAAAGCTTTTCGAGCTGACCATCCACCCATCGACACATGATCTTCTTGACCAGCGCTTGTTGATATACTATCAACCGATGATGGATGGCATAATACTTTATTTTCCGAAACTTTATAGAAACGAAAAGCTAATTTAGTTATATATTTCAAATAAAATAAGTTACCAAGTGCTGCAGCTGTACAATGTGCGATCATAAAACCAGAGTTTAATCCACCTTCGAGTGTTAGAAAAGCTGGTAGGCCGCTCATGCCATGATTTACCAGTCGTTCCATACGACATTCACTTAAACTGCCTATCTCATGTACACCGATTGCTAAATAGTCCAAAGACTGTAAATAAAAATTTTACGTTATAAAAAATAGAGCGAAGAAAAACAAAACAATTTACTTTAGCTGGATATTCTCCATGAAAATTACCGCCTGAAACAACTTCATTACTGCCTATAAATACAAGTGGATTGTCGGTGGCACTATTCATTTCAGTTGTAATAATTTTTTTAACGAATCGGATTGTATCCCATGATATTCCATGAACCTTTAAATATTCAACCTTAACTCGAGAGAAAATTCATTCGATAAAAAACGAACTTGTGGAACACAGCGAATTGAATAAGCATCTTGTACTCGACCACAATTAGCATGGCTTTTTGATATTTCCGACGGATGTACGTCAGATATTAGCAGTGAACGTAATCGTTCTGCAACAAGATTTTGTCCAAGATGAGGTCGAGATGCATGAAGCTCTGATTTGAAAAACAAAAAACAGAATTTTCTTGGAAAGAAACAGATCGAAGTAAAATATCTACTTGGATGTAAATGTCGAACGGTACCACGTAATGCTTCTGTACTGAGAGCGGCAATTACATCGGCTTGACGTGCTATTGACATTGCTCGTTCAACAGCTAAATTAGATTAAGAACAAAATTTTATTTTATTATTTGAAAAAAAAGTTTTTACCTTCAGCTCCTAGTGCCGTAATAAATTGTGTTCCGTTGATCATAGTTAAGCCCTATCAAAAATTATAATTCTTGAGTAAATAAACGAAATTTCATTTTTTTCCTTCTTACTTCTTTTGCTTTATATTCAATGAGACCTAATTCATTCTGTTCTAAAACTTCCCTTGCATTTCCCCAGCCTGTTTTTGGTGACCACATACGTCCAACACCCATTAAACCTAATATAAATGACGAAAAGAAAATCCTTTTTTTTTCAAAATTTAAATACCAGCAGCCAAATGTGATAATGGAGCCAAATCCCCAGAAGCGCCTACTGTGCCTTGAGATGGAATTTCTGGGATACAAGATTCTAAATAAAAATTGAATTGAATTGATGTTTATCTTGTTCTATGTGTATCGTCTTTACTATTGAATGCAGCGATAATTTTACGTAAAGTTTCTTCTGAAATGCCTGAATATCCCTTGGCAAGAATATTGATGCGCAGTGCGAACATCATTCGAGCTCGTTCTATTGTTAATGGTTCACCAACACCTGCACAATGTGAAACGATCAATCGAGTTTGTAAATCACTAGATATTCATAACGAATGGGATGCACACAACTAATCGAATAGATGAAATAACTTACGCGAGTTTCTCATTGGAAATAATCGTTGATGCAAATGAACCAAAACCTGTATTTACACCATACACAACTATATAAAAAAAAGCAATAGAATTATCTAATGCTTAAAATAAACTATAAATAAACCTTTTTTTTCATCAATAATTTTATCGACAATTTCTCGTGCTTTACGAATTGCAGTCCAAGTTTCTTCAGGTAACTATTTAATAGAATATGACTGTAGATAAATTTTCTATTGGCATGGAATATTTACTTCAATTTGATAATCACCAGTACTAAGACGAACAAGATCGCTGGGTTTTAAATGATATCCATCTAATCTTACAACCTATGTGAATACGTTTTCGTTTTTTTTTAAAGTTTTTATTAATTAAAAAAACTTACGTGACGTTTTTCATCACTATTCAATAAAACGAATATCAATATTTAGAATCAAGAAGATAAATATTCGCAATAGAAAAACTCACGTAGCTACACTGAATGAGTCATCATCATCGTCTATATGTTTAGTTGTATCTGTATAAAAATTCATTAGTACATAGAAAAAAAGCAAGATAAATCTTACCGATTACTATCGCTTCATTGTCATCTAGCACTTGTTCAATATGATCGTCAAGGGATAATAAACTTCGATCAGTAATACGACGAGCCACGAAACAACGATTAACGATTTTAATATTATACTTTTCAGTATATCTTTGATATGCAGTTTCACATAACCATCGTATAGTTTTTTGACCGTCTATACATACAATGAGAAACTTTTCTTGTACACCATGAATTGTTACAGGAATCCGTAGTACCATTTTAATTTTCGTTAATGCCGGTTTTGTTTTACTAACGATTAATAATTATATATTGGACTTTGAAACTACGCACGACTGTGCACGAAATAAAAAGAAACCTTTCAATAATTTTGTTGAAAAGCGAGATATATACACACATGTGTGCATATGAAGACACACCTTTTCAACCGTATCCAATATGATTTTTTCCATATCTTGCACATCGTCATTTTTTTTCTCGAGGTTAAAAAAAAACGAGTTAGATGTAATCATATGACAAATATTATATATATTTATCTCGAGTAATGTTCCTACAGTTGTAATTATTGATAATAACAGTCTACGAATCAAATTTTATTTGAGATAAGATGAATAGTTGAGTCGCGAAAAGAGTAGTGACGGACAAAACTTCCTATCTTTGCAATCAAGTGTGTCTCATGCGTAATATTACATTTATCATGTATATGTGTCATTCAAATATATACCAAATAAATATGAATTCATGAATGATCGTAGTAGTTAATTTTTCATTTTTTAAATATTTCTAAAAACAAGAGGGAAACAATGGACATCATACATTGTTTGCTCTCACTGTTTATATACAGACAAAGAGTACTCTCATCACAGTATCGCTAGAAGTTGAACATTCATTTGATAAAATGAAATACTTGAGACCCACGATTATGAATGAGTTTTATATATCTGTGATGACTATTGATTCATGCCTATACGTATGTTTAAGACAATTTGTGATGACAAAATCAATAACTGAGAAATGAGATATGAGAATTCGGAATATGTAGAGGAACTATCAACATCTTTATGATACTTCCATCATAGTTCTCCAGCCCTTGGACACCGTTCGATTTTTCACGTTGTAATTTGATAAGTCCATCAGAAAAGCGATATATTGGTATACGCTTTGGAACGGATCATATAGAATAAAAAGTGCGCTGGATCATGAAATATATCAGAGACAATTTTCTTGGAAAGAATCAATTAGATTTTGTATTCCATTATGCTTGGATAGTGCTTGATGCTTTTTTTATTGCTTTTATTAAGTATTCGAAATTTATGGTAATCCTAGGACATTGACTATCTATTTCCATGATAAAGAAAGAAAAATAACTGGAAACAAATTTCAATATTTCATCGAATCCTTATATTTACATTAATGTAGAGTATATAGTATCGATTTGGTAGCGTTTTTCACTTTTACTATGTTGCACAGCACCGACTGAGCTCGAACACTAATACAATTACAATGGTAAGTTTTGAAGTAAAAAAACAACGAAACTATTCTACAAGATCAAATGAGTTATGACTTTTGTTGTTGTTAGATGCAGCAATCGGTACATGCAATCTTTCATATGTTATCATTATGTGTGCAGTATGCGTTTTTATCTCCAAATTCGACATCAGTTTTTCAATTCACTCAAGAAGCACGAGCTGTTTTTGCCCATTTGTTGGTACTACAGGAATGAGATACTTTGATGGTGGCTCTTTACAGTGTTCTGGTAGAAACTTTGATTCGGAATTAACAAGATTACCACGTGGTCTCGGCATCGGTGTCGATAGAACTACTGGTCAACTCAAGGCTTCAGTAATACAATTAATATACCCACCAACAGGTAGTCGTACATGGACTGATGGCCTCACAGATGAAATTTTTGATTTATTTAATGAGATCACATTGGGATCAGTCAACCGAATTGCAGCCGCTTACGATACTATTCGGGTTCACATTTTCACAATGCTTCACAGTTAAATACAGCATGGCGACAGACAATTGCTGATGGCAAAGTTTGTGGTGGTGAATTAGCCCGTCGACCTGAAATCTTAGAATATTATGCGAAGTAAGTGTAACGGTAAATATCGGATCCTTGCTAGTTGATGTATTAAAACAAACTGAGTAGAGGTTGAGTAGCTTACAACCACTCTCGGCAATTATGTTTATTCGCTTCTTCACATATCCAGAGTGTAACAACTTCATACATAACACACGTATATATAGAGGAGAGAGAGACAGGAGCGAGAACACAAGGAGGAGGAAGGAGAATCATCGAAGCGTGTCATCAATATCGACACAGCGAGTCTTTTCTTTTACTACACACAACTGAAACTAGCTCATAATCTTTCGTTTATTGAAACATGTCGTCACTTTTTCACTTGTTACTAGCAAGCAATCTCTTCTACACAAGTGTAGATGACGGTGGATCCACGAAAGGAAGACTTTATTGAAAATTCTCCTACTCTCCTGAAGGAATGTTTAGAATGAAAGTTCAATGCAGCAAAACCTTCTACTAATAGCCTCCGATATAAATCTACGAAAGTGATTAGATGTCATTTGTTTTTAGTCTTCAGTATATTAAGAGTTTTGAGGGTAGTCACACCTTCCTTCTCTACTTCGTATGTTTCTGACAGTTGAAACTAGGAGCAGCCTCCGGGTAATTCAACGAAGGGTACATTTAGTGAACGTCGAACATTTCAATCCTTTACTCTACAAAAAAAAACTAAAGCAACTTTTAGATAAGCAGTTATATTCTGAGATGCCATCTGTACTAATAAAAGCCTATTCTTAATTGAATCCGACGCTGCTAGAACTTTCGACACTTGAATCAGCAATGAGGTATCCGAAGTCATAGTGGATGGTCCTGTTTTATAAGAAAGCAATTTATCATAAGTAACGATATTTTAAATGAGAAACTAGTCAAGAAGCTTTCTTGCATCTGGTTCGAAGTAAGAATTCTTCGTTGGAATCATATTATTCTGCTTATTTCATAGAATAGGTAACACTATGTTAACCATCTAGATGAAACAAAAGTGACCGTTGAATCATACACATTTCATTCATCAAGCTTTACAAATCATTAATAAAATAGTCAGAAATCATAGAATAAATGATCTTTATGCTTGGATTGTAAATTATTTGCGAGATCATGAGGCAGAAAATAGTGTGTTCTTCAAGGCATACGGGGAAAACTAAGATAGTAAAATAAAACATGCATTGACCCGTCTTCTTGTAAATTACCCACGCTCTTCAAGTATGATATGCGGTTTCGATGAATTTAAAATAGTAACAGTCGACACCAAAAATGTTTTATTTTTTCTTAGCTACTTTAAGCGTGAAGAAGCTTTGGCATTGTCTCAACGCGTGATTGACCTATACACGCTAAGACTAAAGGCCTCAACTGTTCAGCTTAATGTCTTTGCACGTCGTGCAATTTCAATGATCACAACCAAGTTCGACCTAGAACTCTATGAAAGTTTTCTCGACTCTTGGGAAACCCATATCATTACTAAATAACTTCTAGGTGGGACGATCGAAGAACGAGCTAAAGTAATCCGATGCTCTAGCATCTTTGGTGATAATAGGTTCGTTAATTGCATACCATTTGATGACCGAGATCTAATAAGCTCTAATGTTACTTACTATAGTGACCAAATACGCGTGAATTCAAAACGTCTTCTTGGTGGTAATGTTGAAATCAACAACGAAAACGAACGCAAAAGAACGTTGGCCGTCGGACCTACTTTGCTGCAGACCTTGGAGATGATTCCTTGGTGCGACTTTGTCACCGATAAGACGGTGAAACAAAACTTGGCCGCAATCATTCTGTATCGACAGAGAAATTTCGATTTCAATCAAGCAGAATCAGTTCGACTGGTCGATTCACATTTACACTCATGCGTTTCAGGTGGTTAGACATTTATTGATTCACCGTATGAGCCCTTAAGTATTTCATATCCTATTTTGAAAGCATGTTGCATTAGTGATAAAAATAGATTGATGCCTCGCTCATTTTTCTGCACATGTTGCTTTAGTTGAACACACGATGAAACAGGATTGTTTATTCGAGTCAATTATTTTTCGTGTTGGCTACTAATTTTATGAAGTCGATTTCATTTCTCGTTGTAATTACCAAAATTATTTTGTAGAGACTCTAGAGAACGAGTTACTTTTTAATGGATTTGCATAGTTCTTAGATTAATATTTTCTCGCAGTCATTTGTAGACTAGAACATTTTCCAATGGGTTCTGTTCAATTGTTGTTAATCAAGAGTTACTTTCATAAATATTCACAACTATTGTAAACAAACAAGGAGTCAAATAGAAAGCAACTTAGACATTATACGGCTTTTCAAATAAATGATAGAATATGTGAAGGCAACATCTATGATCCACTATTCAGAAGATCTCAGTTCTTCAAAATATGAGGAGAGAAAGAATCGTGTTTTGTGTGTAAGTAGAACTTTTGATAAATATGATTTTGTTTGACTAATTCGATCTGCATTTCTCATAAATTAAGAACACTTCGATAATATTCGAACTGAAGTGCGAAACATCATTACCCAGAAAAGTTGGTCCTCTATATTTTCAAAATTTTCCCAAAGCAATTAGTAACCGGATTCGTTAGAACTAGCTGTAGAGCTTAGTTCTGATAAAAAAAGGTTCAAATGGTAACTTGCACAGTTCGATTGTACTGATCGTTTCGCCATAGTTGTGACGGTTTCTGATAGAAGAAGTGCTAGCATTAATGCGGAATTATGTTTTATTTAACTTCTTCATATTATGAATCGCGTCGGTTGCACTAAGAGCATACATTTAAATACTCAACCATCCGAAATAACTAAGGAGGATGAAAGTTACGGGCAAACGCAGAGACCCAAGCAGACAAAATACATAGAAAGCATAGAAAAAGGACAAAATTCATGGTAAAGACAAAATAGTAGTTACGCTTAACCTTGAGTGTTACAATATGATATATAAAAAATTACATAAAAAGAAACTAATGAGCACACAAAATATAAAAAAAATGAAAACGAAACAAGAAATGTATGTGTCAAGTATACATATACGTATATAGAAATTTTTGGTCTCCATATTGGCCATTATCAAGCGTTCTACTATTTAAAGGAAAATTACTACTAAAACGAAAAAGATTGTGTTAAACAATGATAAGGGATGTATATGTGGCAGCAGAGTTTAGAATCTAGTTGATATTGGAATTGTTGATTATTCTATAAATATTGTGAGAAAGTGGTTCATAGAAATAAAATTTTGCTAGTGAGTAATACGAGATAATTTGATTGAGTATGTAGATTCAAAAAAAGTTTTTGTTTCCAAGATTAATTGTGTCTATTTTTTCCTGATTGATGAGAGAAAAACGACAAAGATTCTGAATAGATGCTCGTGTTTTAATGCTCGGGACATTGATTTTTTTCGTTCTATACTCGAAGAAAAGAGAGAGATCTTCGCTATGGTTATTTCGGAGTACGGGTCTCGAGCAGCTTGGATGCGGATAGAACAATTTTTAATTCGAATGATATGGAAGGAAAGCAAATGTTTCTTTTTAAATTTTTAATGAAATTAATAAAGAAGCTTCTTATATTAGTCCTTTTGATGTGTTATTATCAACAATAGTTCTTCGTTAAACAAATAAATAAGTTAATATAAAAGAAACTTCATAACTTGTGGCTGATCATTGTCTATTTCATAGCGACGAAGATCGATTATTAAAATTCAAATTCATAAAGAAATGATAACAAAAAAATTAGAATTTAATAGATTCTACTAAATTTTTTAAAATGTAAAACTAGGATAAATAAATATTTATTTGATGATGTAACATAAATATCATAATTAACGAAGTATTTTATTTCCTTTTAATATTAAAGTATCAGTTGAACAAGATACATTAATTACTATATGACTCATATAAGTGATATGAGAGCGCATTGAGATAAATGAAAAATAAGAAATAAAATATTTTTTTTGTTTTGATCACCAATTTGAAAAAGAAATTAAAATTATGATCAATTAGAAAATATTATGCTAAATTTAATTCATAGACAAAGCTTCTACATTGTTCACAATTATAACTTTATTTGCATCTTGATTTTCAAAATTCGTTTTTCTCGTCTTGTCTTCGCTCTCTTTTTGTCTATTTTCTCTATCTTTAATTAAATCTATTATTCCAATCTCAACTGAATTCTTATGTCAACTGGAACATATGTTTGTGTATATATATATGCTCAATTGTCATCAAAAATATAATCAAGATTATTTCTTATTAAATACAAATATTACTTAAACTGAAAAAGAATAAATTGTAACTATTGTCTGAAACATTATTCAATTATATCAATATTTTAAGATGTTTAGATGTTGCCAATAGATTGATATTGATCCTGAATAACTGAAATCAATTAAAATATGAGCTTGAATTTAAAAAAGCTTTCCGTGCCACCATTAGCTACTAGAGTGAACTTGTAAAAAGAAAATAATTGTTTTTTCTATAATGGCCAATTCATGGTGGATTCATGGGATTATCTCTAATCCGAGGTTTCTTGTTCCTGCGTGAAAACAACACAATACAATTGATCAGTTATAGTAATGAGCTATAACTTCCGATACGCTGATAAATACTCGATATCTAATGCATTGACATAGATAAATAAAATAAAAAGAAAGATGAGTCACTACTTATCTTCGAACAACAAGATAAAAATTCTCTGAGTTATATTCCCATAAATTCGACTGTATTCACTCAATGTGAACGTAACTCAACATATAGCTATCGCGATCTGTCTCGAGTGGTTAGATATCTCTCCTCATTTCCACCTTATTCACATGAATGTGAGAAGCCATCAATGTCACTACTATCAAATAGATAAACAAAACAAAAATCTTTTCTATTATTCATGACCTGATGAAATTCTTAAGCAAGGTCGAACCGTGAGCATGCATCCATAATTGCTGCAGTTTCATTACAAAGAAGTGAACCGAGAGATCTTCAAATTGTACAGAAGGCAGCGAAAAAAACAGTCTGGTTACTATCTTGCACTCAACTGAAATCT